CCCCTGGTAACACACCCAGCTCCGAGGGTCACCCTCAGTCACCCTCCCGGACACTCCCCCCTCATCCCGAGCCCTGGCGTAGCCTCTTTGCAGGGTGAATTGTTATTTCAAATCTGCCGCGTCAGCGGAACAAGGGTTCTGAAAACATGACTCATGTGACTGTAAAAAGTCAAGTCAGAGGGGGGATTTGCATAATAAAATGAAAACTGACAAATGCCAGAAATTCGAGCTCCGTGTCTTTTTACCTCAAAGTGATAAAGGCGTTGAACTGGGGAAAGGCAGGTGCACACAGCGGGTCGGCATGTCGCAGGGGCAGCTCCAGGCACCACGGGGAGTCGGCCATGAGTTCCTTACCCGCCTGCTGTTCCTGGAGGGGCGTTTGCTCGGGACACATTGGTGATCTGGCCAGACCCCGTGCAAGTGGCCTCAGTGGACAGTGAAACAGTGGCCATTACCAGAGGCGGGAAACCAAGGCAAGCCCTGCAGTGATGTCCCTGTCACTGTCCCAGCCACGTTAGTCCTCTCCCCCCACAGGGGGGCTGCTGACCACAACCTGCAGAGCCCGCGTGGGTGACAGCACAGGTGAGCCAGCAGGAAGCCCACGGGCCGTGACATCAGAACCACAGAGGTCGAGCACCCCAATTAGAATGTGCTCACTGTGGCCTGGGTCCCCCCAGCTCCTGCCCACCCCCCACTGTCTGCCTCCCCTGCCCCTTTGGTGGGGCACAGGCGGGCGGGGCGCAGGTGCAGAACACCGGCCACCTTCGCCCCATCAATTTAACAGCGAGTAGCTCCTGCAACACAAAGAGAGATGAAGCCTGTTTCACAGGCTCATTCAGCATCTGGGTCTTTCTGGTGGACCGGCAGCTGGGGAGGGGGCTCAGCTAGGAGCCCCCTTCCCTCTCCAGGTACCTGGGAGGAAGGAGAGGGTCACAGGGCTGGGAGCTGCCCACAGCGGCTCACTGTCATGCATACGGACCCTCCTCCATGAGAGGTGAGGTCTGGGCGTGACGGGGCTGGGTTCCAGTCCCAGCTCAGCCGCTCTGCTCCAGTACACCCACCAGGCAGGCTGCTGTGGGAAGGAAGTGCTGGGAACGTGTGTTCCCCACCCCTTTCTCAGTCTCCTTTTGGTGAGTATCTCGTTACCCTCCTACGACGGAAACAGGGTGAGGCCAGGGGCAGAGGCATGTAGCACGTGCCCAGGTAGTGGTTGGAGCACCTCCCTGGGCTCAAGTCAAAGCAAGGTCAGACCCCCTTCCAAGTCTTAGTTCCTGCCTGTGTTGAAAGCATCATAATAGTAATAGTAATGGCTCTGGGAGAGGTGTGTTAAGGTGCAAAGTGCTACAATCGCGGCATCAGGGTCCGCTCTTCATCGTATTACTGTTGAAAGGCATTTCAGGAAGGAGCTCACAGTGGCGCATAGGGCCTGCCTCACGCTTAGGATGGCCCGAGTATAACTGTAGTCACAACTGTGCTGATACACCTCGGTTAAACCTCCCCCTGCCAGTGGGACCCGCCCTCCTCTGTTGCTGCTACCAGATCTGGACAAAGCCCACAGGACACAGGGCCTTTTACATTCAACCGCCGACCTCTGGAGGGAGCCCAAGGTCAAGGGGAGAGGGCAGGAGGTGAGGTCAAAGACGTGAGCCAGGCTCGGCTCTGCTGGGGCCTCACGGGCCAGCTATGCAGCCTGTAACTTATCCCAAGTCCTTTAGCTCTCTTTCTGGATTCTCTTTTCAAGTATCTCCCTGTTGCACTGCTGCCTCGTTGAACTCATTTTTGATATCCTAGGAGTTGTACATCCAGGTCATGGTTTATAAGTTGCCATAAAACTCCACTTCGGAAGTGAAGAGTTGACATTTGTGCCTGCAGTGGAGACAGGGAATCAAGGAACTCTGCGTTAATTACACTACACTGCTTCCTGCGGGGAGAGCCTTGCAGGCTTGGCACCTGCCAGGAAAGGCTCAGGCTTCAGCTCCTGCTGGAGCAGCTGAACGGGGGCTGTGTATCAACGTGGGAAGACAGGATGTCTCAAAACTATAGGATGACTTGAATGGAGCATCTGGGCTTGTGATTAGTTTACAAGAAAAGCACAGAAGCTGTCGGCAGCCTCTGTGATCTCTTACTCCCAGGATATTCCCGGGGCCAGGGACTCACTTGGCAGTTATGTCCAGGGCTGTGACACCTGGGAGAAGAATGTTTCAGGACTTTTGCTTCGATTGTCTCACCCCCAGCTTGCTGAGAGATGGCCCGGCTGTGGGAGGGCACACAGCGCCCGGGGAGAGCGTCCTGGCTCTTGGTGCAGCAGTGAAACTCACTGTAATGGAAGTGGTCCCCCCGCCTGTGCTGCAGCAGCCCGGTCTCCCGAGGTTTATTTCCATACTTAAAGGTACTAGTAACCACAGGCCTTCAGTGCAGCTAATTCAGGAATAAATATCCCAGCCCTGTCCTCCTAGGTGGCTTGTAGCTTTCCTGGGATCCCAATCTCACGTGCCATCTCTTCTTGCCTTTTCCAATTTATTCTCCATGCAGCTGCCAGACCAGTCAATATTTTTGTAATAAAAATTAGATCAGTCACTGCTTTGCTTAGAATTCATCGATAGCTTTCCATCACATTTAGAGTAAGTAAAGTGGGCCCCAGGCTCTTCAGCATGACCCCCAGGCCCTCCGTGAGCTGGTGGCTGCACTCGAGCCCGTTTTCCCCCATGGTCACCGCGTCTCCGGTTTCCTTGAGCAGGCCAAGTGCTTCCTAACCTCAGAGTCAATGGCTCATTGCTGCTGGAATGCCATTTCCCCTGCAATCCACCTGGCAAGCTCCTCTTCTCCCTTCAGGAAGGTCACCCCCTCCAAGAAGTCTGCCCTGACCACCTCAGTGTAAATTAGATCCTCCCCTGCCCCTCCATGCACTATTCTCTCACAGCCCTGTCCTTTTCCCTCTGTGCATTTTCCCATTCAGTAATGTATACTTATCATTCACAATGAATCTCTCCACCAGACTAAGCTCCGTGAGGACGTTTTATTTACAGCTGAATTCCTCTTGCTTAGGATGATGCCTCGCACATAGTCAGTACATACTTTTGAATGAATGCTGCATTTGCTATCTATGATGTGACGTGTATATATGGATTTGAGTATATATAAGAGTAGTATATGTCTATGTACTGGATATCTGGAAACATGGGCAAATGCTGACTGACACTGTCATTAACTGGTTCATCTTAATATTAGCCAGGAAGCTTTATTATTAAATATGTCATCCTTTTTCTCCCAAAAAATATTTATTGAGCGTCTACTGTATGTCAGCCATTGTGCCAAGCAATGGGATGTAGTCTTGATAAGAGAGGCCAGTTAGCAGCCGCATAGCACAGGGAGATCAGCTCGGTGCTTTGTGACCACCTAGAGGGGTGGGATAGGGAGGGTGGGAGGGAGGGAGATGCAAGAGGGAAGAGGTATGGGGACATACGTATATGTATGGCTGATTCACTTTGTTATAAAGCAGAAACTAACACACCATTGTAAAGCAATTATACTCCAATGAAGATGTTAAAAAAAAATTTTTAACTGAAAATAAAAAGTAAAACATGAAAAAAAAAACCTATCCTTTAGCATCAGCATATGATCATCCACATGCTGTGTTTATACTATATTTTTAAAAGTTTATTTCCATACTTAAAGGTAATAATAATTACAGGTCTTTAGTACTGCTAATTTAGAAATAAGTAGTATTTTGTTAATTTTTCCAAGAGCTAACAATTAACTTAGTCTCTCTCACTAGTGTGAAATTTATTTCACCTAGACATTAGCGAGGCTTTTAGTCAACACATCCATGCATAGACTATCTACGTAATCATCTTCCTAAATGGCCCTCATGTTTATTTCTACCCAGGACTAACATCACACCTTTACTGAGGGAGGTTTTAAAACCAGTAACATTACAGAGAGGACATTCCAGTTCTCCCGTGGTGCGTGACTTAGAATTGTGCTTTTCCATGGCACTGACTTCTGACTGCGTCTTCGTATTCAGGGAAAGACAGTTGCCTGTCAGTGGGCGTTTCCCAAACTCACGGGTGTTGAGTCTTGCTTGGGTCTCCCAAACCTGTGTCAGAGCACACAGCCTCCCAAGAACAGGTGGATGCATCTGTTACCACGCTGCTTTCCTTTTTGCAGCTTCCCTACCATGTCACCTATGCCCAGCAACTTATCTTAACAGGATCCCTCAGTACAGTCAGCCCCTCACCTGGTCGGTGCACGAGTGTAGACTCAAACCCGGGCCAGAACTCTGGCTTCGCCTCATAAGAGCCCTGTGACCTGGGACAGGTTACCCCACTTCCCAGGTGAACTAAGGGTCATCTGGTCAACGCGGCTGTAGGGGACTCCCACCAACCTCCTCTTCTCTAAGTTAGAGAATCCCCAATTATTTCTTTTATCTATGCTAATTTATTTTCCAATAATTCAATGATTTTAGTTCCTCTCTCGGGCTTCTCTCCGTTTCCTTAGTCTTAAACACAATGGTAAGAAAATGGTGTTTCCTCTTTTAATGGACTGGGCTCTGAGATTGTGGATGGTAGGAGTTCAGCGCTTTGTGTGTTCAGGGAAGAGACCTCAGCTCTGGGGTGAGAGGCACGTCCCTGTAGTTGTCCTGCTACCCAGATGATGCTCAGACGAGAGAGGAGACTCCCCTAACAAGGGTTGGTGGATGCTGGTGGCAGAAAACAGCAACTGATCTTCCACGTATTTACTCAGAGGATGTCCTTGGTTAGGACTGCAGCCTGTAATCATAGAAAAGAGAAAAAGAGAACTGAATAATATGAGGTTTGAGTCAATGTCAACATTTTTTTTAATGTCACCATTTCTTTAACCTTTTTAAAGTACGTAATAGACATTCATGGTAGAAAAAGTGAAAAATATGGAAAAAAAAGAAAAATCATCCATAACCCAGTATCTATGCAAAACCACTTTTACATAGTTCCTTTTATGCACGCTCTTATTCCTATATATAAAAGAATATATATATATTCCTTTATATATATTTATATATATATATATATATATATATATATATATATATACGTTCATTTACTGCAGTGGGGTTGTACTCTCTATATTAAATAGCGAGGTGCTTGGTTCCTTAATAAACCATGCGCAGCTGTCCATGTTATAAATCTGCATCATCATTTTATTTTGTTTGTTTGTTTTGTTTTGTTTTGGCAACGTTGGGTCTTCATCGCCGCGCGCGCGGGCTTTCTCTAGTTGTGGCGAGCGGGGGCTACTCTTCGTTGTGGTGTGCAGGCTTCTCATTGCGGTGGCTTCTCTCGTTGCGGAGCACGGGCTCTAGGCACGTGGGCTTCAGTAATTGTGGCACACGGGCTCAGTAGTTATTGCTTGTGGGCTCTAGAGCACAGGCTCAGTAGTTGTGGCGCATGGACTTTGTTGCTCCGTGGCATGTGGGATCTTCCCAGACCAGGGCTTGAACCCATGTCCCCTGCATTGGCAGGCGGATTCTTAACCACTGCACCACCAGGGGAGTCCCTACATCATCATTTTAAATGACTGGATTCAATATTATAGGGAAACTGTAGTGTGACCAGTCCTGTGTGACTGATGTTTATGTTAGTTCTAATTTTTCAATATCATAAATAATGTGATAATAAATAATGTGATAGCGTGATCATTATTTATATATTTATTTTACTTATTTATCTATTTATTTATTTTATTTATTATTTATAATATTGAAAGTTAATGTTACCATTTTTGCATTTGTCTATTATTTCCTTAGGATAAATTCTTAAAAATAAAATTATTAGGTCATAATGCATGAACATTTGTAGTGTTTTTATTAGATACTATCATATCGTCCTTCAGGAAAAAAAATGGATTATATGCATCCCCACTGTTAGTGTTTGAGCATTCAAGTCCATGGAATCTTGACATTTAATTTTACCTGGTTATTGTCCCCACGGTGATGCCTAGGACCTTAATTCATGGGGTGATTTTTCATTTGAAAAAAGAAAACACATGTTCATTTCCTGTGCTTACTCCAAAGAAAGCTCAATATTTTCATAGAAACTTTCATTGTTAACTTAGTGCGTTTATAGTGTGTGAAAAAGAGACGTAGCCTCTTTTTTAAAACGGTCGTATACGTAATTATTCGATCTTTTCACCTTGCTGTTTTGTAATTTATTACACAGTTTTATTTATTAGGTGTGTCTTAACCCATTGCCGAGGTTCATTTGGCATCTATAACACTTATTAAAAATGTTTACCAAAGAATGACATAAAACAGTTAATGAAATCAGGTAAAACGGTAAAATCGGGATATGAAATTTTATAGGGAGTGTGACCTCACCAATGAAAACCTTGACTAGAAAGGTCATCGAACCAGAGGACGGAACTCTAGGTGTTCTGGACAGACAGCGGGACCAGATCTGCCATGTGGAGCAGTGTCACCCTGGTCTGGCCAACCCAGCAGTGTCTGTACAGATCTGCTCCCAGCCGCCCATGGGAACAGGCAACTGGGGTGGGAGGCAAGTGGGAACCAGGGGCTCAAAGAAGGACTTTTATTTTTATTCCATTTATTTAAGTTTTGCTCGTCTTCTTAATAAGAACGTTACATTTGTAACTGTATAAAACAGCGTGCACATATGCACGTGTGTACTTGCGCGCGTGTCAGCATAGGGAAGTGGTTGGGAGCAAACCTGGAAATACAGGCAAGCCTCCTTCCTGGTGGTGGGACTTGGGCTGTGATTTGTCTGCTTTAGAATCATACGTGCCCTCCAGTTTTTTAACAGACATATTACTTCTTTAACAGAAGAGATGTACGTGTGATCATTTTTACGGTACACACGCACACACATGCACACACACACGACTCTTTCCTTTTGGCCTTTGGACGGCGAAATGGCACATGGGACCCAGTTCAAAGAAGTTGTCCGTTGTCCCAGGCACTGCCTGGCCTCCCTGACCACAGGTGCATCCCCCGCTCTGGGAGGAGAGGCCACTTCCCGCTGGGCCCAGCTTCAGCAGAAGGTCTTAGCCAAGCAGGTCATCACATTCTTGGTCATGGGTGGTTTGTGCATTCCGTTAGCAAGTCGGCTCTGAAAGCACGTTTGTTTGCTCACCTCCTCATTCGTTCATTCCTTCACTCAGGTGCCTGGCTCTGTTCTAGGCACTGGGGCACCACAGGGGACAGCCAGCTCAGGTCCCTGGGGTCCCCTCGCAAGGTCCCCGGCACAGCCCAGGTGAACGCAGGCGGCTGATAAGAGCAACCAGGCACTGAGCACGCATCAGCCTGGACCAGACGCAGCTTTGAAATGACCCTGTTGCAAATGTGTAAAGCCTGGAATGTGTGGCATTAGCCCTCATGGTGATCACAGGAGAGAGGAAAGCATCTCATGCGAGGGCTGGGGAGGCTGCAGGAGTTGCCTCCAGAGTGAGGTCCTCCCTCGGTAGAGGGATGGGGCCCCCGCAGGCCGTCTGACCTGCTCCTGGGGCGAGGCACCCATGGCGGGGGTTTGCAGCTTTGGGGACAGGGTCGGGCCGGGCAGATGGGGAGATGGACCAGGGCTGGGGTCTGCATGTGCTGGCCCGGTTCTCCCACCTCGCTCTCCAAAGGGCCTCGGCGGGAGGATGTGGTGAGATAGCTGCACCCTTAGCCACCAATTGCTGGTGCCCGTTGTTATTTCTGCCCAGAAGCACTCACCAGGGATGTGCCAGGCTCAGCTGACAGTGGCTGAGTCCCGCGGAGGCCGCCACGGAGACACCCCAGCATCTAGAACATTCTTGGACCAGAGCAGGGCCTAACTGATGTGTGAGTGAACCATGTGGCGTTTCAGGGACCAGTTTGCTGGCTGGGATCCTTCCATGGGTGGCATGCCCCACGGCTGGGCCCAGTGGACGCGGGTTTTTTTTTTTTGTTTGTTTGTTTTTTTTTTTTGCAGTCCGCGGGCCTCTCACTGTTGTGGCCTCTCCCGTTGCGGAGCACAGGCTCCGGACGCGCAGGCTCAGCGGCCATGGCTCACGGGCCCAGCCGCTCGGCGGCATGTGGGATCTTCCCGGACCGGGGCACGAACCCGCGTCCCCTGCATCGGCAGGCGGACTCCCAACCACTGCGCCACCAGGGAAGCCCATGAAAGGTTTCTGACACGTGAACATGCAAACCTAATTGCTAACAAAACAAGGCCAGCTCTTCCCCATGCTCTGAATTAGGAAGAAGTAAGTTCGTCTCCCCAGACAGGCTGCTTCAGCAGAGCCTCAGATGGTAACTGGTGCACATTTTCATGAGTGTATTTCTGAGTGATTTCAAGGGTTTGGGGGTTATAAAGATAAACCCACAACGTGACTTTCAAAGCAGCTTACGAATGCCTATCTGATGCTATTAGTTTTATGCCCTTTTCTCTCGCCTATCAGAAACCGTTCTAAAGCACCTCTGATGAGGCAGATAAGTTGTTTTCTAGTTTCCCAGATTAGGAAAATGTAGGGCAGAGGTGTCTGTGACTTGTTCAAGGTCACAGTAAAGGGAAAAAATAAGCCACTACTGTGGAGAGCTCCAGAAGGGCTTAGATGTCTAATCTCTGGGGGTGTGTGTTGAGTTTCTGTGTGTTGCTGGAGGGACGTCTATCAGAGGGTCTCAAAATGAAGGTGTTTGCAGAATACTTAATAATATAAACACGGCATTCGCCTCGTAGTGAAACGTGGCATGGCGTGGGATTTGTGATAGACCAAAACCAACAATGTTAAATCCCTGCAAGTGAAAAGAACCTAAGCATTTAAAAACATACTGATGTGCCCGCTTCTGGTGACCCCAGGCGCGTGGCTATGGGCAGGATGCGTGGGAGGGAGTGGGGGTCACCCCTACCCACCCACGAGGTTCTGAGTCAGTAGGTCTGGGTGGGAGCAAAACTGTGCGTCTAACAATTCCCAGGGGCTGGTGGTCTTGAAGTCGCTTTGAGCACCACCGTCTTGATGAACAGTCACTCTGTTAGTTGCTGTGAATAAGTAGTGAGACCAGTGTGTGTGGATGCTCCGAGCCCGGGGCCCGGCCACAGGGGAGGACGGACTCTTGAACGGTATTGGATGAGACTCTGGAGACACCAGTCTTTAAAAGCTTGCAGCGAAGAGTGTGGCCACCTGCCTGCAAAGGGGCGTTTCCCTGCAGTCAGCCGAGCGGTGGGGTCGATCACCCCTGGGGGGCTAGTTTGCGCAGCCAGCAGTCCTGGGGGCCCAGGGTGGGGGTCGGCTCTCTCGGTACAAAGCCTCGGGGACAGGGGTGGCCGCCGGGGGTGGAGCTCGCGGAGTCCACTGTTGGGGGACCTCCCGGAGAAGCTGGAAGGGGGGGAGGAGCGGGGAGCCAGCGCACCGGGTCGCCTTGGGGTCACAGGAACAGCAGGTGAGCTGCAAGGAAGATCCCGAACGAAGCCGGAGAAACAGCACCTTCCCGAGAGAGGAACAGGGGTGAGGTACAGCGGCCATCTCCTCGGAAACCCTGGAGGGACACGTTTAAATTGTTGAACGATAAAACCCACCACCCTGGAATTCTGCATCCAGCAAAAGCGCCCTTCAAAAGTGAAGGAAAGGGCTTCCCTGGTGGCGCAGTGGTTGAGAGTCCGCCTGCCGAGGCTGGGGACGCGGGTTCGTGCCCCGATCCGCGAAGATCCCACATGCCGGGGAGCGGCTGGGCCCGTGAGCCATGGCCGCTGAGCCTGCGCGTCCGGAGCCTGTGCTCCGCAACGGGAGAGACCACAACAGTGAGAGGCCCGCGTACCACAAAAAAAAAAAAAAAGTGAAGGAAAATAAAGACTTCCTCAGACAAACAAAAACAGGGAATGTCTCACCAGTAAACCTGTCTTGCAAGAAATGTTCTAAGAAGTACTTGCAAGCAAAGGAAAATGGAATATGGGTCAGATACTCAGATCAGAGAAGGAACAAATGAAGATAAAGTACCATCTTATACTTTTCTCATTATGAATTTTATGAGTTGACCTTATAGAAGACTTTATTCAAAATAATACTAGCAACGAGTCAGTCTTGCTTGCCTGGCGGAGTTTTTTGCAACCAGCTGCCAACATTTAATCATCTCCAGCAACGACCGTCAGGGGGCCGCTGTGAGGCCTGGCTGGCCTCCCAGCCTTCGGAGTCTGGCTGGTCGCCGGCAGGATCCTCCATCCTTGTCTCCTCCAACTTGCCTCTGAGAGCAGATTCTAAACATCTAAAAGTGAATTCTACAAGTTCTAAAAGTATTTTTCAGAAGACAGCAGCCCAAAAGAAGGCATGGATGGAATGGAACAGAGGAGAGGGGGAGGGGGAGGGGGACGGAGGGCCAGGCCTGCCCTGATGCAGAGCAGCCCAGCTGGCCTGAGACTCTGGCCGGAGCCCGGGGAGAGCAGGAGGGAAGCCGGGCTGCCCCACACCTCCCGTGGTTCTCACACAGCCCACGTTCTCTCCCGCAGGGGCCAGCTCTCCGGGGCCCGGGCAGCTGGACGGGACAGGAAAGCCCCATCTCACGAACCTTGGGCTTCGATTGGGTGTGTGGACGTCAACGAACCACCAGGCCTCACGACCTGGAGGGAGAAAAACGTCGCCACACAAACCTGAGTTCTATATCAGGGCCAAATGAGGCCTCTTAGGAGGTCTTTAAATCAACCTGGCTTCTGATGAGTTTGTCTGATACCTTCATAAATGTCAGAGTTGGGTGTGGAAGGAAATTCTTTTTTAATAGCTGGAGAAGGGACCAGTGGTTGACACCATGTACATCATGGAGTGTGATGGCACACGGGTCCCCTCATCAACGTCATACTTGGAAAGGGTGTCAGGAGCCTTTTGTGTTTGTCGATCTCGTAGCAGGTTGTCCCAGAAATGTTCTGGCCACAAAACTATTTCCTACTCTGGGTCTGGACTGACCGTGTTTGAGTATCAGCCCATGGTTCTCAGAACATTGATTTAGCTCTTACGATGAGGCCAGGCCTTTGGCTAGGCCCCGAGGGGTGGGCACACCTTATATTCATTCCCGTTTAGAAGATGTAATTTGTGTGATATTGTGCCTGAGTTTGTCTAAGATCAACTATTATAGGAAACCAGGTGACCGGGACGTGGGACCTCTCTCTACTATCCTTGCAACTCCCTGAAAACCTGTAATTATTTCAAAGTTAAAACTGTTTTTAAAGGATTTAATCTGTTAAATCCCACGTGTGTTGGGCTGTCACATCCTACCTGCCTTCCCCAGCCAGGTTCTCCTGGGACTTACCTCCAAGAAGTCACCTCCGTGAATGAACCCCCAACACGCATGCACAGAACCCACTTCAGGGTCTCCCCGGTCCCCTGGGCTCCAGTCTTACCCTGTGCAGAGCCATGTCCATCTGTCCCTTCCCTGTGTCTCTTCTACCATGAGCCCCATAGGGAGACTCCCCAGCCACTTTCTACCCTTATCCCAAAGACCACCCTGGGCCTCAGTGGTCCATACTGGAATATGGTCATTGATCGAATCTGCAAACATGTCAGTGGCTGGGCTGGGGACAGATGTCTGGAGGGAGGGAAGGTCACCCCGTAGGGCCACAGGGAGCAGAATCCTGCCCTGAGTGAGACGGGGGCAAATCGGGGACCATTTGAAGATAAGCGTGACTCTTTTCCTCTGTAAAGCCCAAAAGACATTGGAGTGAGGCTCCAGGCTGTGAACCACACCCAGAGGGGAAATAGGATCTTACAGGGTGGCCGACGACCTGTGCACTTAGCAAAGGTGCTCAGTACTGAGTACTTTGGATGCCTGAATACAGAGGTGCCCAGAATTCCCATCACCCCCTCCCTACCAAGCCCACCCCTCCTGTGACTGCCCTTCTGCAGGGGGCTTGAGGCAGGTCCAGGAGGGGAGCCTGCATCGCTCTGGATGGATAACACACCAGCGGGCTCTGTGCAGGGTGCAGTGAGTGCATGCACGGAGAGGACCCCCAGGGCCCAGGGGCCATGGTGATGAATAACTCAGGTTCTCAGAGCCTATAAATAGCCCTCACCACAAATAACAGCACCGGCCTCCCGCCTGGGGCCACCTTTGATGTTTCATTCAGGAGAAGCCCTCTCAGTCGGGGGCCTGTTTCAATTTGTTTCATTCCCCATGCTCTGCTGCCCAGTATCTATGAAAAGCTGCTCCTTGTGGAACTTGAGAAAAAGTTACATCTTGAGCCGTCTTTGGTGTCCTTCCTGGAAAAATTGTTTCCTGGTCAGGCAGCCTCTGCCTCTGGGCTCCGGCGAGGCTGGGACCCCGGGTCGCTGGCGTGGGGCTGCCCCCCTCACCCCACTTCCTGGGAGTCATCAGAGGCCGCAAGTGGTAGAACTTCCGACCTGCACAGTCACCAAATTAGGAATTTAATTGCATATGACATCAGACAGGGGCTCCTGAAGATGGAGCCCCCGGCCACTCCAGGAATTAGCATTTGGAGGTGAAATCCCCATTCGCTGTCTTCCTGCTCTGCCAGGGTGGCCCTGGAATGCAAGCCGCAGGCGGCAGAAAGAGGAGCTAGGGCCAGGTTCCTGGGCACCTGGGCTGGCTGGGTCAGGACACTCGGCCTTGTCGCCAGGCCACGAGGCACCGCGTGTGGCCTCCAGCCTCTTGCCACCGCCCGGCCCCCATACAGGTGTTTGGGGAGCATCCCAAGAGGAGGAGCTGCGAGGAGCACAAGAAAGGCAGGACTTCTTCCAGGACCCCCAGCTCGCCAGGACGCGTGCTGTGGGCCTTGCTCTCCCGGCGGGGGAACGAGGACCCAGGGCAGGCTCGGGAAGTGCAGGGGCACAGATGGAAGCGTTTGCTTTCTAACGCAAAGGCTCTTCCATCTGTTCTGACCACCTCAAGGAGAAAATGCCCGTTCTCAACAAATGCGTCTTTGATACTTGTAATCTCTTTCAAAGAGCAGGAATAGACCTCGGGCACAGAACTTCAGCCAGGAAGTAACCATCACAGCCACACTAGTAACATAGCAATGACAGTAACAATACCAGGAACACTTATGTCCTTTAGCAGGCACTGTGCTAAGCCCTTTGGGGGCAAACCCGTTAGTTCACAAGACTCGGTGATGTGGGTTCTTTTATTACCTCCATTTCACAGGCGATGAAACTGAGACACAGAGAGGTTAAGCAACTTGTCCAAGGTCACACAGCAAAAAAATCTCCAGAGTGGAATTTCAGCCAGGCAGTCCAGCCCCGGGGCTCCTGTTTGTAACCATGGTGCACCCTGCCTCCGAGCACTATCTGGCCAGAACATAGTAACTTTATTGCTTACAATGACCCGTTCTTTGTAGCAAGTGATATGATACTGGTTTTCCACCTAAGGAAGATTTAAAGAAGTGATGGAAAAGGGCGTGTGTACGTGTACATGTGCATACATGTATATATGCACATGCATGTATGTGTGTGCACACCTCCATGTATATGTGTATGCATGTCTATGTGTCAATATGTGTGCATTTGCATGTTTGTGTGCACATGTGTGTGCACACGTGTTGCATGCACTGTGTGTGCTGCATGTATACACACATATACGTGTGTGGGTGTGTTTATATGAATAGACAGTGTAAAGAAAAATAACATGCAGATGATGTGGATACTATAACACAGTGAGGTACTGGGGGTGGTAGGAGAATGCAGAGGCATCTGGGTGGGTAGGAAACCTTTACGGAAATTTCCATGGCCACCTCTGTTCTCCGTGCATTTGGCAGGTGGGCCATCGGGAAAGTAAGTGGACCACATCTAAGTGAGTCTCTCTCCCTGGGCAGGTTGAGAATGACACGCGTGCTTGGTTCCTGAGTTACACCCCGCCATGAGGCTGCCGGAGGCTGGGGGTCAGTCCTCTGGGGCCTGGACTCACGCAGTCGCCACGTGGGCGCCCACGTCCCTGTTCTCTGTGAGAGGAGGCTGACGCCAAGTCCCAGATCACACACGGAGCTGCAGGGCGCACGGCGCACGTTAACCAACCTAACTGGGTGTCTTTCCCCCTGAGATTTCTCCATTATTCATCTTTAGGGAAGTTGTAAGAACAGGGTTCTTCCAAATCAGACCTGATTTAAATTACACGTTTAGATCACGGAAATGGCTGGGGGCGGAGGCAGCATTGGGAACACGCTGGAGCTTGTGCTGGCTTCCCGGGGCCACACTGTCAGCGGGGAAGTGAAAGTGTCCAGGGCGTGCTGTCAACATTCCCAGCATCAAGCGTGGCTTTGCCATTCGGAATAGACTCAGCTGCACAAAGACGTGGGAAGAAAAGCAGTAAAGGAGGCTCAGACCTCAGACGGGAAGGGAGGGGAGGGAGAGGAGGGGAACGGTGAGCAGAGCCAGGGCGCGGTGGGCGAGGCGACCTCCGTGCTTACCATCCGTTCAGCCACCAAGTCGATTCAGGGGAGGGATGGGGACACGCTTTGTGGTCAAGGTGTGCTGCCTCCCCTGCGGCCATCGCAGAGCTCGCCCGGATTCCCAGCGGGGCTCGGGCCTCCTCTCCGTGGTCCCTCACAGAGGGGAACGCCCACCTCTGTGCAGGGAACCTGCCCGTCCTTCAAGGCCCTAATCCTCCCCCTGGAGCTGCCACAGAACCCGGAACACAGGTCTTGCATCGAAGACTCATGCACCCCCTCCCCCGAGATAAAGCCTGGTACACAGACGGAAAAGGGCTTCCCTCTCGGGATCCTTCCGTGAGATCCACAGAGGTGTCTGCTCAGTCCGGCCCTCCTGCCTGGTCCTTTACTCCAGAGAAGACAGCAGACACCCCTAAATGCAGAATCTTTTGTGGCAACGTTGAGTATTGGATTCCACAATGACGATCCATCTTTTCCATGTTTGTTCAGAGGACAAAAGCAGCGGGAATCGAAAGAAGTTTCTTGAAATTAACAAGTCATCAAATCCGAACAAAAACAGAAAAGAGGCTTGATAATTGAAATTATTTCTAGCAGCTCATTAGTCTGGGGTTGAGTACATTCAAATCTTTGGTTGCTAAGAGATGGAGATTGCCGGGCAAAGACGTCGCTGGCAGTGGTGGCTGCTCGCCAACGGTCGGGAGGTGGGGTATACAGGACAGTCCTGGCCGGGCTGAGTGCTGGAAGGAATGTGTGTGAAGGCCTGGAGGGCACAAGCTCTCTTGAGCAGATGAAAAGTCTCGGTCGCACATCATAAACCAGAAGAGGCAGCAGCTACACCGGTGGAGCTCGCGGCGCCTTGGCTTCCAGCCCCAAGCAGCTGCCAACAGGGCATCATCACCCACTATAATCCAGACGCTCTTTCTCCCGGGCACTGGCCAGGATGGACCACTCACTCCTGAAATGGCACCGGGAACTCTGTGATCTTTGATACAGTTAAGTGACCCTGAAAACAAAGCAGTCTGCGTTTTCAGCTGTGGACTTGAGAGAAAAGCCTGTTGACAAGCAGACCGGGTGACTTCACGCTGGGGCTCCTCTTTGAATATGCAGTGAGTCCCTTCCCCCGGGTTCTGCCTCCTCTGAGATGCAAGAACCCTGTTGGATCCGCTGAGTGAGTGATAAACCCCTCCCATGAAGCGTGCCTTCGAGGGCTTACGGGGTCTGGAGAGGTCACGAGCAGGGCTTCAGAATGATAGCCAAAGTGAGCAGGTGCTCCTGGGCAGGCTTCTGTTTATTCATTTTTGATGAGGTGTGCGTAGCCAAGGGCAACCGAACTGGCTTATGACACACGGGGGTCACAGAACATCAAATTTATCTCTGACCTTTGAGTGTCTGACGCGCAGGCTGGCGGCTGCCGCCTGCCAAGTTTATACGGTGCTCCGACGTGGACCTCGGTGCGCTCCCCGGACTGTCTGCGTCTCTGACGATCTTGGCTGACGACAGGGAGGAGAGAAAACAGCAGCAGCGGGAGAGAGGGGTCCCCAGCGGCCGCATGTTAAGGTCATGGGCTGGGAGGTCGGTTCACGCAAGTCAGGGCAAAGGCCGAGGCAGGAGAGGGGTCCAAGAGCCACCCCCAGCCCAGCCGAGGTGGACGCTGAGTCCCGGGTACCAAACGACGCAGATGGAAACCAGAAGCCCTATCCCAGCCTTGACTGGCCAGACGGCCTGCAGGCGAGGTGACTGCCCCCTGCCCTCCCAGTCAAGCTGTGGATCCCCGCCTCCGAGAAGTGGGGTGGTCTTTGCCACGTGTGGCCCGACGGCCACTATGCTTCCCCAGAGGATGCGACACGGACGGGAACAGTGGGCTGGGCGGGGAGCTGGGGGTCGGCTTCATAGGCCGACCTGAACCCACTGTCCTCCTAGGAGCCCCGAGATGTTCACTTCTGCCCTCGGTTTTATTTGTAGCCACAAGCCCTGGTGGCGTGACTTTCCCTGGAACGGCATGGCGGCTGGCCGCTGAGGCGCCTGGTGTGCACAAGGGTCTGGGGTCATGGGTGAGACTTGGGGGCACCTGGTTTCATGTCCCTGCACCCGCTGCTCTCAGCCCACTGGCCTCAACCCCCAGGGTCCTCAGCATGTTCACTGGCTGAGCAGGTGCTTAAAAGAGCAAATGACAGAGCAGACAACCGGCTCAGGGGTGCCCATCACAGGAGGGAGGCCATGGTGGGAGCGTTGCGTTTGTTCTGAGGCCACTGGGAGCCTTTGAGGGTTCTAGCAGAAGGGTGAGCTCTGGCTTCGACTGAACTTGAGTGGCCTCTGCTGTGGCTCCTATTCTCAAGCCCAGAGGAGTTGGAACGTGGTAAGAAAGTGAGAAAGGATGCCCCAGACCCCCTCAGAGAGCTAGCCGGGCGTAATGTTCCCACGCCCCGGAGAGAAGCCCTTTCCTGAAATTCGAATCTGCCGCCGAGCCCGAAGGGATCATTTTCCCGTGATTGCTCCTCCTTTTGCGTGGCAAAGGAGGGCCCCCCTCCCTCCCTCTCCCCTCAGCCACAAAAGGCTCTAATGAAAATAACTTCTGGCAGCTGTGTTTATAAGACACTGATGTAGGGTGGAATGCGACATTTTCGTATAAATAAATGTGACGTTTTCGTATAAATACGTGCAGGACGCAGCTCTGGATGCTGAACAGGTGGCCCAAGCAGGCTGTGGCCCCTCCCCGGATTATCCGGAGAGGGCAGCGCCTTTCAAGTCAGGGCAACGCCCTTTGTAGAAAGATCTGCTCTGATGACACAGGGTTGGCGGGGGGAACATGGCCGCAGAAGGTGGAGCTGGCGGGACGCGGGCATAGGGCAGGGCTTTGGGGCTGCAGGCGCCAAAAGCACAGCTCAGAGCAGCCGGGCAAGCAGCATGGCTGCCACGACAACACCCCGGGAGGCCTGGTTGGAGGGACGGCTGGACCCGGCGTTCAGGGGGCCCCCAGCACACTCTGGCTGCTTCCCCCTCAGTTACTCCATCCTCAGGCCGGTCCCCCCACAGGCCAGTCCCCACCCTGCTGACTTCCATCCTTGTGCTCCAGCCACCCCAGCGACAAGAGAGAGAGTTCTTGCTTCCCCCATAGTTCCAGGCAAACACTGGGAATGACTGTCACAGATCAGCCTCAGTGGAGCATCGTCTCTAGACTGAGGGAAGGGTGGCTTCCTGCACAGCAGTCGAGGTGCTGTCAGTCACCAGAAGAGAGGGAGCCATCGAGAGCGGCGTTTATGCAGGAGGGCGTGCAGAGAGCTTGCTCGTGTGTTGCACAGCAGTCGAGGTGCTGTCAGTCACCAGAAGAGAGGGAGCCATCGAGAGCGGCGTTTATGCAGGAGGGCGTGCAGAGAGCTTGCTCGTGTGTGTGGAGGCGATGAATCAGTTTGGGAAGAGTCAGGCTGTGCCCCGTGTCCCGCCGAGCTGGGCTGGGCGGTCGCCTCCCGCGGCACCGGCTGGGTGTGGTGGGCCGGGGGCCAGGGAGGTGAGCGTGTGGCCCGAGGAGGGACGGGCTCCGGGGAGACGGAGGATCCCAGGACGTGCGGGACGAGGCCGAAGACAGCGTGGTAGTCGTGACGGCAGGGGAGCAGGGCGCGTGCAGGTCACCCGCCTTGTAGCAGGCAAGGGGCTTTCTGGTGGGGCAGAAATGACCCAGATGGGGTCTTGGTATTGCATCCAGACTGAAGTCTGAGACAGCACCTATGGCAGACAGAACAGCGGCTCTCAAAGAGGTCCACTTCCTGCTCTCCAGAACCTGTGAAGACGTCACCCGACGTGGCAGATGGGAGTAAATTAAGGAGATGATCCTGGGTGATCTGGGCAGCCCCAAAATGCCATCCAAGGGTCCTCATATGGAAGGAGGGAGGCAGGAGAATCAGAATCAGAGAAGCAGACATGATGGCAGAGGTGGGGGTCAGAGGGAGGCTGGAAGATGCTGGCCTTGGAAGGGAGGCAAGAATGCAGGCACCCCTGGAGGACAAGGAAGTGGAGCCCTGCCCCTCGAGCCTCCAGAGGGAACCAGCCCTGCCCACACCTT